AGCGATATGAGGCACGAGATTTTAACGTGGAAAACCCTTTCAATGTGAAAGAGTAAAAAATCACGAGACCCTTCAGTCCAACCAACTCCACTACCACCAAATTGAGAGTACAAATGCATAATATAACAGCACCACAATGATATCTAGCCCTTAACAACACTATGAAGGCACTAGAATCAAAATAGAGGAACAAAAGTGTAACAAATCACTAAAAAACTGCAGCTGGTTCGAAGCTCATAACTTGAGATTGAACCGTTGAAATTCGATCTCCACCGTTCAAATTGAAGCTCCACAAGTCCTTAGACTCCTCCTAAAATTTCAGCTCGATCGGACAAGCTTTGGACCTCCGATCGACCAAAAAACCAGACCTGCGTTTTGAAGAAAATGGCAGCAGATACCTCTCCTCTTGCGGCTGTTTTTCTCCTTTCTTTTTGTGCGTGAATGATTTTTTCAACCAGCTGTACCCCTAAACTTAGACCCTTAATTTGCCATCAAAAGTGGATTAAAATTGGGCTTGAGTATTACACTCCAAATTGGCTTTTAAAACACATAGTTGGGAGCCCAAACCCAACAAATCTCCCCCCTCCCAACTATTTGGAGGTGGCTGCCAAACCGGCAATCAAACAACAAGTTTCAAACTTTCCCTTTGGCAAAGGCTTAGTCATCATATCAGAACCATTATCATCTGTGTGAATCTTTTCAAACTCCAATAACTTGAGATCAAGCACATCTCGAATCCAATGATAACGTACATCAATATATTTTGATTTGCCATGGAAAGTAGGATTTTTGCTAAGATGTATAGCACTCTGACTGTCACAATATAAGACATACCTCTTCTAAATAACGCCAAGTTCACGAAGATATTTCTTCATCCAAAGCAGCTCTTTACAAGCTTCAGTAGCTGCAATGAACTCGGCCTCTGTTGTGGACAACGCAACACATTTCTGAAGCTTAGATTGCCATGAAACAGCTCCCCCTACAAAGGTAACCAAATAACCAGATGTAGACTTCATGGTATCAATATATCCAGCCATATCACAATCTGTATAAACATTCAAAACAGGTTTTTCAGTTCCAAAACAAAGTTTCAAACTGGATGTGCCTCGGAGATATCTCATAATCCACTTCACTGCGTTCCAATGCTCCTTTCCTGGATTAGAAAGGAAGCCACTAACTATACCAACTGCATGCGCTAGATCTGGCCTTGTGCAAACCATTGCATACATCAAAATTCCAACTCCGGATGCATAAGGAATACTATACGTCGCATCTCTGCCTTCTCAGCATCATTAGATGGGGACTGTCTAGAGCTAAGCTTAAAGTGTGTAGCAAGAGGTGTGCTAACCACTTTAGCCTTTTCCATATGAAATCGTCGAAGCACCTTTTCAATGTACTTCTCTTGTGACAACCATAGCTTTCTTGTCTCTCTGTCACGTGTAATCTGCATGCCAAGAATATGTTTTGCTGGTCCCAAGTCCTTCATCGCAAAGGACTTACTAAGCTCTGTTTTCAATTCTGCAATTCTCGAAGAGTTATGACCAACAATAAACATATCATCAACATAAAGCAACAAAATAATGAAGTCATTATCAGAGAACTTCTGCACAAAAGCTCAATAATCAGAAGTAGTCTTCTTATATCCTTGCTGGATAATCACAGACTCAAATTTCTTATACCATTGCCTTGGAGCTTGTTTCAAGCCATACAAGCTCTTCTTCAACTTGCAAACAGAGTTCTCCTTGCCCTTCACCACAAAGCCTTCCGGTTGCTCCAAATAAATTTCCTTCCCCAAATCACCATGAAGGAAGGTTGTTTTGACATCCATCTGTTCAACTTCCAAGTCAAGGCTGGCTGCAAGACCCAAAACAACTCGAATCGAAGACATACTCACAACAAGAGAAAATATTTCCTCATTGTCAATACCCTTTTTCTGACTGTAGCCTTTAACCACTAGTCTAGCCTTGTATCGTGGAGACGAAGCACCATGTTCATTCTTCAACTTATAGATCCACCGATTCTTCAAAGCTTTTCTGTCTTTGGGCAACTTGACTAGCTCAAAAGTATGATTATCATGCAATGATTTCATTTCATCATTCATTGCCTCAACCCATTTCTCCTTATCCTCATTCTCCATAGCCTCTTCATAGCACTCAGGTTCTCCCCCGTCAGTAAAGAGCACATACTCATTAGTAGAATAACGAGTAAAGGGAATTCTTTCCCTTGTAGACCTCCTGAGAGCAACTGTAGGTGAATTGTTATCAACATGAGGTTGATTATGTACCTCATTTGATTCTTCTTCAACATTACCATCGGCAGAATCATGTGGAACATTACTGTTATCATCATTTTGATCTCCATTGGTAGCATTAGGCGTCTGAGCAACGGGAGTTGGATTCAAATCAACAAGATCATCATAATTTTGAGACTCTAACTTATCCATCTTCTGAATATCTTCAATATTCTGATCCTCTATAAAGATAACATCACGGCTTCTGACAAGCTTCTTCTCAACAGGATCATAAAGTCTATAGCCAAATTCATCATGACCATAGCCAACAAAGATGCACTGCCTCGTCTTGACATCTAATTTGGATCTCTCGTCCTTTGACACATGTACAAAAGCTTTACACCCAAAAATACGCAAATGGTCATAAGAAACATCTTTCCCGGACCATAATCAATCTGGAACATCTCCATGTAAAACAGTAGCATGTGATAAATTAATTACATGTGCAGCAGTATACAAAGCCTCGCCCCAAAAAGATTTAGACAAACTTACTTCTGAAAGTAAACATCTGACTCTCTCCACCAATGTTCTGTTCATCCTTTCTGCAAGGCCATTGAGCTGTGGAGTTTTCAGAGGCGTCTTCTGATGTCTGATGCCCTGTTGTCTGCAATACTCATCAAACGGGCCAAGGTATTCACCACCATTGTCTGTGCGAATACACTTCAACTTCTTTCCTGTTTCTCTCTCAACGGAAGCATGGAAATGTTTAAAGACCCCAAGAACTTGGTCTTTATACCTCACGGCATACACCCATAGTTTCCTTGAGCAATCATCAATGAATGTCACAAAGTAACGTGCACCACCATGCGTCTTTGTCTTCGTAGGACCACAAACATCTGAATGTACCAATTCAAGCAACTCTGATTTTCTGAAAGATGGACGACTCTTGAAGGACACTCTGTTCTGTTTCCCAGCCAAGCAGTGACTGCACCTTTTAAAATTTGCATCCTTCACTCCTGATAGAACATTCTTCTTGGCTAAACAATCAAGACCCTTCTCGCTGATGTGACTGAAACTTTTATGCCATAATTCTGAAGAACTATCACTCTCGACTGCATTGACAGAATCAACAGAGAGTGAAGCTGTAACGCCACAAAATATGGCCTAAAATTTATTATAAAACAAAAGTAGTTTTGAATATCATTTTGATCCAATAAAGAATATTTTTATGTTTGACCAAAAATAAATGGATTTTCAAAATAAAGACTTTTTGTTAAAAACTTATTTTTATGGATATGTCTCAAATAGACGAATCCAATGATACATTTTATGAACCAATCTGATTTATAGATTTGAAGATATGACGATTTTAAATATTAAAATTTGTAACTTTGACCCATAAAATAAACTCAATTCAAAAGTATTTCATAAGATTAGAAATCTTAATTTTTGACACTTGACAACATCATATTAATCATTTGGATTTAATTCATATATTTTTATATCATTCATATTATTAAATTAATTTATGACAGAGACAAACCCAGACAATAAAAAAAATAAAAGTTCTCAGAAAAATATTTTGATTACGTCAAAATTCTACTTTTGACAGTCTCATTTCAAAAACACAATTCATTTTCAATTCGAAACAGTTTGGGCGAAAAAGCGCGTACCGTTTAGAATAAACTGTTCAGTTTTGGCTAAAAGCCAAAACTTTATTTTCCAAATCTTCTCCCAAATCACGCAGCCCCATTTTTCTCTCCACTAGCCCATCCCTCCACCAACCCCTACACTATATCATCATCATCATTGAACACCATCCTCATCATTATACATCATCATCTACCATTTCCTCTCCCATTCTCTCTCTGTCGGCAGTCCAAGAAGGAGGAAAAACCAACTCCAACTCCATTGGTGAGCCAAAGGAGAAATACACACCAGCTCCATAGTTGGTTCAAGGAAGAAGAAGAAGCAAGAAACCTTCCAAAAATTTCCAAATCTTAAGCTCAAAAACGCTGCAGCCACTTTAAGGTAAAAACTGAAATTTTCTAATCCATTATATAGAAATATTTTCTGAACGCAAGGTGTAGCCCCGGACGATACAAATCCAGCCCAACAAACGGATCGCGATTTCGTTAAGTAACGAAGGAGATATGGCCAAAATACCAGGACTGCGCTAGTGGTGGCGAGCTCCTCGGGTTGGCTATGTTCCCTCACCATATTCATGTTGTTTCATTTCAAACACTCGCCATAAACTCTCTAACGATTATTAAGAACATCAGGAAGGTATCGTAGAGAAGGTTCGGTGTTGGAATATTGAAGTTAATGAGTTAATCGTCGGAATCGTTGTTCATCGACATATCCGAAATCCTGGACAGCAACTATCCTTTGACTTCAGGTCCAATTTACGCTATCTTACATCTGTTAACTCGAAATACTTTCTATACGAAAGTTATAGCTTTACATCTTAGGAATCCACAGAATCAAACGGTTTGCAATTCCATGAAGAAACGATGGAGATATGCCCAAAATACGGCAGGCTGTCCAATTGTGACGAGAATGACAAAGTTGGTGAATTTCGATGTTGTTTCCACTCTCGCTCATCCGTAAGGTTTTGGCCTATGATTTCCAGGTCTGTACCTTTGCGTTAGACTTGTCGAATCATTCATCACATTCGTACATGAACATATATATTAATTCATATGTAGAAATCATCCCAAAATATATATGTGATGTATATATAAGTCATCTATATGTTGCGATCAAAATACACCAAATCCATAAAGCTAATATATATACATAAGTATATATAAACATTTAAAATCAACCCAACAACATGTATATGTTAATCAAAGGTGTTTGAAAGACTTAAAGAAGTATTTTAGACACTCAAAATATCAAGAGAAAGATTCGCAGACCCAAACGGTCGATGCAAACGGTCGCTTGTCATATTAAACTTTGAAACGGACCACGACTGTCAACAAAAACGGTCGACCGCCGTCGGCGAACGGTCGACCGTCGCCAACCCAGTAGAACGCCGCCTCACTCAGGCCGTCAACAATGGTCAACCGCCGGTCAAACACGGTCGACCGTCACAGTACACCGGAATCCGACGAATTGAATCAAAGCACGGTCGACCGCCGTGCTAAACGGTCGACCGTTCCGAGCCCAGTAGCGAGATTAAATGATATTTTAATCATGTTTCATCCAAATAAACCAATGCATGATTATATATTCATATTGTTGATAAATTGTTCATATCATATCATTCATTTCATCATTCATATGGAAGCATATCACATCATATGCATGCGTAAGAGATCATGCCTCGTGCGTCTCTTATAGCGTGATTGTGCGGGACTTAGCAGTCCGACATCACACGTCGGGCTTAGTGTACGTACATGGTATTTAGACTTTCGAGTACCACCCCCATATTGTTTCTAGTCTCACCTCATTCGTGAGACTAAGGTGGCGTGACTTCGTCGTACAACCTGGGCGAATCTCATAGCGCAAGGGTCGTCCTTGCAAATGTATTTTATAAATATTGTTGGGTTAAGGAACCCGGGGCCTAGGAAACTAGGCGGAAGAGTATTGAACTAAGTCGAAAGTGCGCAAATATGAGGTCAAGTAAACTGAGAGTAATATTGTACTAGTTGGAACGTAAGTCCCCCTTCCTTTAGAAGGGAAGGGGTTTATATGCAAGATTACAACACAGCGTTCCGACCGTTGGTCCAGAGTCCAACGGCCTGGGCCCACTAAGATTAGGTTGTTCACTGGCGGCGTCCAACCATATCATTATCCCTAGGATTGCTATGCAAAGTAGGTTACAAGTAGGGTGGCTATAGCAACTCTGCCAGAGGCATGGCAGGGGTCTACTCGTGGGCCCCTTGATCTTGACTTCAGTCAGCTTCCTTTGTCCTGGTCTGGTCTGCCGTTACCCAAGGTTGGGACCGAGCGTACGACCCGTCTTCGAAAGTCTCTTGGCGGAAGGCCGGCCAGGGGTGGTCCGAGGATGACCAAACCCGCCGAGGCCGAGCGCGTACCGCTGCCGGGGTGGCCTTCCTAGTCCTTTGTTTATTCTTGCTTTGGTCTCGCAAAGTGGGCCTTAGCAAAGTTGGGCTGTGCCGCTTTTTTGTTGGACTGGATACCACCATTCCTGGGTATCCATCAAATACTTATAATAAATAATCAAATATTTGAAATATTGATAGAATTGTAGAGAGAAGATAGTGGGAGATGTGTGATAGATATGTTTGTTTTGAGAAAATTTATAAGTTTTTTAATTTATATTTTTTTGTTTAACGGCTAAAATAGCCGTTTTTGGCAGTTGGGAGAGGGGAGCGTCACGTTAAAGGTTTGACGCTGAGGGAGTAATGCCTGTTTGAAGCCCTAGGGAGCGATGTTTAACGCCTTCGGGCGTTAAAAGCAGGGTTGACGCCCACCGGCGTCACACCCATTTCCTCAACTCTAAGGGACGGTTAATTTATTAGAGGTATAAGTGTCCAAATTTAATGTATAGCAAATCATGATTGATATGATAAAATAAAGTTATTAGGGTAAGGTTCCCATGATATTGGTAACCAATGTCATGAAATGATCCGGGGGAGCTCCGGTGCTCCATTCTTAAAATTGATAGTTCTTACCTCCCAAACACTCCCACCCCCTGTAAACCTCCCCACCCTGCCCCGACCCGAACGCACCACCCCACCCTCTTCAATTGCACCCACAAGTAAATTTTGATTTAGGAGTCAAAATTTGACTCCAAAGTCATAAATCAATTGTGGAGTGCAATTGAAGGGGGTGGGGTAGCGTGTTTGGGTCGCGGCAAGGTGCGAGGGTTTATGGAGGGTTAAGGGGTATGAATCATCAATTTTACGAACGGAGTATCAGAGCGCCTCCGGCTCATCCCATGATATTAGGAAACTAATGTCATGGGAACCAATGGGAAGTTATAAAACCCATTAACTTAGTTTTTAGAAGTCCTTGATCATTGGGTCTTATCGCTTTTGTCATTCCATTAGATCTATTTGATTTGTGAAGCCACCACATTCACCTATACCTGTTCATAGGGGTGTGCACCGGTCTAAAACTGGACCGGACAGTACTGGAACCGGAATTCTCTATTTGCAAGGCTTGAAAACCAGACCTGTTAGATATTGGTCCGAACCGATTCGAACCTGAATTTTCCAGTCCGGTCTGGGTTTACACTATTATAGACCGGATTTTAAACATAAATGGCCTAATTTTCATTATAAAAAATTCATCTCTAAATTATATATGTAACTATATACTCCATATATAATACCATTAATCCCCAGGTTCATAACAATAACAATTCACTAGGAAGGACAATTGTTAAATTCATAAGTTCATAACACTACAAAATCCATGAATAAAATCTCAACCCAAAGTTCAAACTTCAAAAAAAAAAATTAAATAAAAAATATTTAAAGTAAAAATTGAAATTAAGTTATATATCATGCTAGGAGCATAAGAGAACTAAAAAAGAAATGGTCTAATGAATTAACTATTTATTTAAAGAATAAAAATTTTAATATATACAGGTCTGGACCGGATAATTCCGGGTTAAGACCGGACCGGACCGGAATCCTGAATTCTAAATTTTGGTGGACCGAAGACCGGACCTGAAACTTCCGAACCGGTCCATTCCGGTCCGGTACAGATCTAAGTTCCGGTCTGGACCTGTTAATGCACAGCCCTACCTGTTCACAATTAGGTTCAGATCGAAAAAATTAACTGAACCGGACCATTAGGTCTAGATTGAACCAGGACTTAATGGGTTTCAAGTCGATCTTCTGTCTAGAAAATTTAAGTGTTTGAGTTTCGATCAAGCGAGTCCAAACCCAAAATGATTCAAATCCAGACCGAATGGACCTAATAATTCTATTGCACCTAGAATACCTAAACACTAAAATTCTACCTTTTGATAATATTTAATAAATATAATATTCCTTTAAAAATATATTGACTACTTAACATAAAATTAATAAAGATTTCTCTTAATCTATAATAAATAGACATGGCAAAAATGACACTATCTGTTTTTGACCCGAAACTACCAGAATTGAAAACACTGGGTTTTAAACAAAGGTTTTGATGACCGAATCCAAAATAACCTACTAAAAATGGGTTAAACCCGACCGAATTCGAACCCGACCTGACCGACCCACTAAAGTAAGAAATTTTCAAAATCATGCACTTTACTACTCGTTTTTAGTGTATAAATTTTTATTTTGAGACAAAATTTCAATGATATTGTATAATTGTCTACGTTTTTCCAAAACTTAAACATTTGTTTAAATTCCTTATATTGATTTATATATCTAAAAATTACTTCAGAATTTAAAATAAAATAATCTAATATATTTAATACTTTTTTTTTATATTTTAAATTTATTAAATAGAAAATGTTAATGTTATTGTAAATTTAGAAATTTAAAAAACCAAAGTCATAGTTTGTTGGGTCGACCCGAACCCGATAACACTGTGTCATGAACATAAAATTATCAACCCAAACCCGAATTGACTCGAACCCAAAATAACCCAAACACCAAGTGACCAAACCCGAACCTAATCGGACCGACTGATTTACAAGCTCTAGCAATAAACCATTTACTCCCTCTGTCCTAGAGTATTTGTCCACTTTCATTTTTACACACCATCCATTAATACACTTCTTTAATCCACTTTATTTTGTAATTTGTATATTAAAAAATTATGGCAATTATATATTAATAATCTACTCCCTCCGTTCCACAAAACCTTTCCCTTTTCGTTTTTTTCAAATCCTTAAAACATTTTCATTTATTATTATAAAATCACTATTACCCTTACTTTTTCATACTCTACATATGACATCATACTTTTTTCCTAATAATCAAACTATCACATCTTACTTTTACCTATCACATCAGGGTAAAATTGTAAAGTCAACCAAAATTACATTTTCCTTATTTTTGCCAAAAATCAAAAGTGGAAGTGTTTAAAAGAATAAAGGAAGTATATGTTAAGACAAATCAAACAAGATCACACATGGCTATATTTAGGCTTACATATTGAGAGAATTTGATGAATCAAAGTGATTAGATGAACAGTTTCAAAAGTCAAAAGTGGACAAATATAGCGGGACGGAAGTAGTATATATTCCGTAATATTCTCTCCACCTCAACAAAAAATCAAAAATTAATAAAGATTTCTCTTAATCTTTATAACTTCACAAAAAATACTCCATACCTCAACAATTTTCAAAAAGAAAAAAAAGAATAAAGGAAGGTTTAAAATAAATGATATCAGGACACGTGTTCGGTTAGTCCCCTATCCAAACGCCCGTATATCGGTTCAACGGTCCAACCCTAGTTTTGCCCCTACATATATATATATATTTAATGATGGGACTGCCACCCAAAGACACTCTCCCACCTCACTCACTCCTTTCTAACGCCGCCGCTGGCTGGTCTGCGTATTCCAATGGCGAGAGATGGTGCAGGTAATGTCTTTTACTCCGTAATAATACAAATGTCTTTTCATCTTTATAATGCCTCACTCCTTCTCGGTTCCACATTTTTCAAGCTACCTACTTGCCCTCACCTCACTCCTTCTTCCTTTTCTCTTCTTCTCCCACCTCACTCCTTCTTTCTCACACTTCTTCGGTTTTTTCTATTTATTTATTTTTCTTTTTAATATTTTTTCAGCAGGTGGGTTTGAAAGGCTCATATGGACGCTCAACAACCTCACACAGGCCTTGGCCTCTCTCCTCGTGGTGCTGCAGCCCCCAACAGCAGCAGCACCTCTTGACGAGGAAGAAGAAGCTCTAGGAAGGGTGGGAAGGAAGCTTGAAGAGTTTGAATCGAAGCAGAAGGGTGACATGGCCTTCTGCTTCGATTCAAACTCTTCAAGCTTCCTTCCCACCCTTCCTAGAGCTTCTTCTTCCTCGTCAACAGGTGCTGCTGCTGTTGGGGGCTGCAGCACCACGAGGATTGTGGGATTTACCAGTGCGAGGAGGGCGGAGGAGTACCTCACCCCGGTGTTTTTCGCTCTTGTGGTCTCTTTCGTGTCGGCCCTCTCGTTTTCTGCGGTGCGGGTGTGGGGAACCAGGACCGACTTCCGGTTGGTCCTCACAGCCAACCAGAGGCTCAAAGAAGAGTTTGAGAAGTTCCTGGAGCAAGAGAACGTGAGGAGAGCCCCTAGGAAGAACCGTGGATGATTTAGGCACTTGTTGGAGACATTTCTACTTGTGGTATTGCCAAGGGAGGATGCGCCGCCAGCCGCACCAACTAAGGTGGTGGAGACTGATGCCCGTAAAAGGGTCGGAGAGGGTAACCTCTTTTGACGAAAAACAGAAAAATTGCATCCCGTGGTAAAGTACTGCTTCATCCAATTTACTATTGAAATTGCAGTCTTTTCCCTCCAAGCGGTCTTTCTGTATCTGGGCGGCCTGCGCTCTACTTCCGGCTCAGGCGGACATTAGTAGCTTTTTATGGTTTGCTTACTTTATTACTCCCTCCGTCCCGCTATATTCGTCCACTTTTGACTTTTGGAACTGTTCGTCTAAGCATTTTGACTCATCAAATTCTCTCAATGTGTAAGTCTAAATATAGTCATGTGTGATCTTGTTTGATTTGTCTTAACATATAGATTATTAATATATAATTTTTATAATTTTTTAATATACAAATTACAAGATAAAATAGATTAAAGAAGTGTATTGGATGGTGTGCAAAAATGAAAGTGGACAAATATAGTGGGACGGAGGAAGTATTTGACATATTTGCACTAAATAGCACTAAAACCTAATTCATTTCTCTAAATATCACTTAAATTGTTTTATTCCCTAAATAACACTTTATAATGTTCATAATGTCCTGTGATGGCAAATATTTACTTGAATAATGACTAATGCATAATGACTAAAAGTACTACATTGAGAAGAAAAACACATATATATGGTCCTATTTAGAGAAAATTCTTATGTTTTAGTGCTATTTAAGTAAATTTCTCTTATTATTTCCGCCTATGGATTTTGAAGTATTATTATTGTTGTTATTATCACTCTTCTTTTGTTCCATCTTACTCCGTATTTTTTTATACGGACTAATTTTTTTTTAAATGTTGTTTTGATCAATTACTCCCATTACTTTGTTAATAATTTTTTTTATTATTCTTCCATGCTTAATTAATACTCCCTGGTAGTTTATGTTTCCAAAATCGGAGTATTTTCCTTTCAAACAAAATTAGAATATTACTAGTAATATTTTGTGACTCACACATCTTATAGGTTTTATATTTTTAATATTACGTGTTACTAGCCAATAAATAAATTGAGTAATGTTTTTATTGATCCTAATTAAAATGAAAATTTTGATATAAATAATCCATTTTTCCTTTTTCGTCACGCAAATTTATACTCCGTATCTTATCTTTTTTTCTCAAACATTGTGAAAATTAAACATTAAAAATTTTCCTTAACCGAGTATAGTATTTATTGACTTCCGACGTACACATATTTAAAAATTTACCAATAAACAATGTATTCGATCATACAATTATTTAGTTACATTCAATAATATTAAAAGAACTAAAGAAGTAACTAAATTAAGTGTACGTGGAAGGAAACTAAAAATTACTACTATGCATATCCCGTGAAAGTATGATATTTTTTAAAATACTCATAGCATAAATATCAAATAAATTGATTTTTAAACATTTAATAAGGTAATTAAGAAACTCAAAATCAAAGCAAGTAAATATCATTTCAAATAAATATAATATTGGAATATTAAAAAATTACCACAAAAAGTTTATAATTATTTATTAATTAATTTAACATATTAATAATTTATGCTAAGTTTTAATCATAGTCCAAATTTGTTTAGAAAAACAACATATTTTCTATATAAATTGTGAAATTACTTCATGATAGTACATTAATTTAATTTGGAATCTATTAATAGAAACTCAAAGAATGCAAAGCTATTGGAAAATATTGAAAAAATAAAACATGTTCAAATAAATATAATGGAGTGTATTTTAAAAAATAACAACACTCCATTTGTTTTTAATTTTTTCTCTTTTTATTTGTTTCCAAATCACAATATTTTTTATTTTGTTTATTTTTACTTTTTATTATGTTTTTTTTATTTTAACCCGTATTTAGTACTCACTCCGTTCCACAAAACCCTTCCGGTTTTGACTTTGGGGAAAAATAAGAAAAGTGTAATTTTGGTTGACTTTCTAATTTTATCCCTAATATCATATGAAAAAGTAAGATGTGATAGTTTGGTTATTAGTAAAAAAGTATGATGTGATAGGTAGAGTATGAAAAATAGGATAAAAGTGGTTTTTTAATAGAAAGTAAAAGTGTTTTGTGGAAAGCAAAAAAATGAAAGAGTAAGGGTTTTGTGGAACGGAGAGAGTAATATTCTTTTGCACCTTTGATGAAACAAAACGCACAATTAGTCTTTGAGAGCTGATGGTGGGTAAGCACAATTTGGGCAGTGTTGATGAGTCCTATACTAACCATAATTTTGCAAGGGCAAGGTTCCCATGACATTGTAAGGGCAAGAGCAATGTTATGGGGTAATCCGGAGCCGTTCTGGTGCTCCGTTCGTAAAATTAACGGTTCATACCCTTCTAATTCTCTCGATAACCCCCCCCCCCCACCATGCCCGAACACACTTTCACTCTCTTCAATTGCACCTCACAAGTTGATCTGGACTTTAGAGTCAAATTTGAGTTCAAAATCAAAATTAGCTTGTGGGGTGCAATTGGAGAGGGTGGGGGGTGTGTTTGGGTTGGGGCGGGGTGGAGGGTTTACCGAGGGGTTAGGGGCAAGAACCATCAATTTTACGAACGGGGCACCGGAGCGGCCTAGATCATCCCATGATATTGCCGAGCAATGTCATGGGAACCTTGGTGATTTTTCAATCTGTATTTTTTTAGTGAATATCATGAATCATCCAACATGTCTCCCAATTTTGACCACACAATCAAATTTTTTTCGTAAATGGTACGAAGTACAAGTATATATTGTGCTACATTAATTAAACAAATTGAGAAATAGAATCCATTAAACAAATGACACCAAGATGGTGGAAGCCAAAAAGGTCTAAGAGCACGAACAGTGGTGAGGCAACAATGGAATGCCACATGCTGACGTGTCAAATTTCAACCAATCAAAAATAGTCTAATCAGCAAGTGACACTTGAATGGAGTGGCAAACTCTGCAGTGGCAAGTCATTATTTTTACTATTTTTACATTTTTTATGTGTTTAAATTATAAAAAAATATTTTTTATTTTATCAAAAAGATTAAAAATACTTTTTCTTCTTTAAGAAAAAAAATGTTTTTTTCTTCGACCCACCAAACTCTGTCTCAGTCCTTGCCCACCAAACTCTCACTTCGACCCCTGAACCAGCACCTGCCTCCATCAAAGGCCACCACCTCCACCACCACGTTGCGGCAGCGTTTTCTGCAAATCTTGCAAGAACTCCACCATTCCCATCAAAGGTGAGTTCTTTACTCATTCGTCCATAATTTCTGACCCCAAGATTTAAACTTTACTAAAATTAACTCATTAAGATCCCCCAAAAAAGGGAAAATTAACCAATTTTTTTGGTGTTTTATAAAATTTTCAGGGGCTGTGGTGAAATTAGAGTGCAAGAACACGAAGAAGGAGATGGAGGAGAGGACAGAGACGGACGAGAATTTCTTGTTATTGAGTGCCTCGCTCATGCCCCTCAAAACCGTGGAAGAATTGCCCAGCCACGCGAGGCAAATTGAGGGAGGTGCTGAGTTGGCAAGCGTGGCATGGGTTTTCCACGCCCATTGCCGATGCTCTAAGAGAAATGGCAATGGTGAGGAATGTCCTCAGCCTCGCTTGCCACATCACCAAATCGTGGAATGTCAGTAGCATTCCTTCATGATTGCCATGGCACTTGCGAGGCATCCATTTTCCATTTCTTTTTTTTTTCTAATATCTTTTAAGAAAGAAATAAGCTATTGTATTTTTTAAAAATAAAATGAAAAATGCTAGGAGTACACCAAATGTGTACTCCATTTGTCCCTCACCTCCCCCTTGTTCACAAAAAAAAAGCAAGAAATTCAAAAATAAAAATAAAAATAAAATAAAAATGGATGGTGGAGAAGAAGGTGGTGTACATTTGTTTACCCGTGTGCATGCTTTCATTGGTTATTTAATTAAATAAAATATTTTTATTACATCTTGTTTAGTAAACCTTTTGAAATAGTTTTTTTTAAATACATACATTCTAAATTTTTTTCTTATACCAATTTTTAAAATAAAATGATTTTTAAAAAATGATGTTTTACTTCATAATTTTAAAATTGTAATCTAATTTTAATAGAAGAAGTATTTTTATTAGAAAAATCATAAAAATTGATAAAATCAATTACTTGCCATTGTAAAACATGACACTCCACTCACTTGCCACACGTTGACTAGTTTATTTTTTATTGGTTGAAATGTGTCACGTCAACGTGTGGCTTTCCATTTATATACTTGCCATTGTTGATGCTCTAAGAACCCAAGCCTCCACTTTTTGTGTTTATAGGACATACCATATGGATGTGTGTAGAGCTGGCAAATTGGTCGGTCAGGTCGGGTTCGTATTCGATCATTTCAAGTTTGGGTTATTTCGGGTTCGGGTCAATTCAGATTCGGGTTGAGAACTGTATGTTCATGACCCAGTGTCATCGGGTTCGGGTCGACCCAACGGATTATGACTTTGGTTTTTTAAAATTTTAAAATCACATTAATACTTACGGAGTACATTTTATATTAAATAAATTTAAAATATCAAAAAATATGCATTAAATCTATTAGATTATTTTATTTTAAATTATGAAGTAATTTTAAGATATATAAATCAATATAAAGAATTTAAAAAATGCTTAAGTTTTAGAAAAAAGTAAGATAATTATGCAATATCATTTAAATTTTGTTTGAAAATATAAATTTATATACTAAAAACGAGTAGTAAAGTGTATGATTAAAAAATAAACAATTACTCCTTTTAATACTTTGTACAAAATTAACCTAATCTTTTCAATCAAGATAAACTTAATTAAAGCGTCAAAGTCAGTGATATATTATTCGAAGCTTAATCAAATAACTACTATGTCACTAAAAGTTTGTTTAAATTTTTTCTAAAGTAATAATTTTTAATAAAAAATCTTTAGCTAAAGTATTATCGGGGATTCGGGGTTGTCTTTAGAGCGATTATTTTTAGTAATGAATAAGACGGACTTCTTTAATGCTACAAAGACATTAAATTCTTTTTAAAATGATGGACTTAGGTCTAAGTTTCCATTAAACAAACTGACGGTCTCATTTAAAAAAAAATGAAACCTAAAATGTGGAAGCAAAAGACCTACAAAGTCAAAACTCCCCCGTTCACGATGGGACTCGAACCCACAATCTCCCGCTCCGGAGGCGAGCGCCTTATACATTAGGCCACGCGAACATGTTTATCTATAGCATGAAGTTAACTTTAAAAAACCAATTGCGTTGACATCGCTATTTCAATATCCAAACCTTTCGTATTGACTCTTAGAGCATCTACAATGGAAAGTATAAAAATAGGTAGGCTATATTTAATTTTACACGATCAATAGTGTTTTACACATCTATTTTTTTATATCTACTCCAACCATATCTTCTATATAACACATTTTTATTTTATTTTAATATTTTAAGTTATTTAATTGTGATAATATATATATTTTTAAAAATTCTGATGACACATATATTTTGAACTATGGTTATAGAGTATTAAAAAACAAGAAATGAAAATTATTAGTAAAAAAAGTAAAAAAAAACGTACTATAACAGTTTAGTAAAAAAATTATTAATAAAAATAATTGAAAGAGTAATAATAATTTACTAATAGTTAGATATTTTAAATAAATTACGTAGTATATTGGATAAGAAGAATTAACAAAAAATAATCGTGCATTATTTTAGTAATAAATTTTTTACAAGATGTGAATGAGAGAGTGTATATATAGAAGTTGGGAATTTAATTTTGGACTATAGTGTATTATTTACACTATCCATTGGAGGGGTTAAAATGTATATATTGTAATTTATAAAGTGTATATTTAACAATATACACTTTTTACCCTCTACATTGGAGATGATCTTAGAAATGCCAGAGAATTACTTACGGGTGACACAAGTTTTGTCAAAATAACTCTCAGGTCCTTCTATTTTCAAAAAGAAATCCTTACATTTTGTTGTAATGACTGGGAGGGAACATTTTATTCAATACTTCATCTATAAGCGTTAATAAATCCATTTTTTTCTATTTTTGCCATTAATTTTTTTCCTATTTTGCCATTAATCGCTTTTTTCTTTATTAGAAAATTTTTTATTTCATTTATTTTTATGTCATACAAACAATTTTCAATTTTTAAACGATTTTATTGAAGGAATTCTAAAAAAATACTTTAAAAAAGAGTAACAAAAAAAAAAGAAAAATAAAAAAATAAAAAAAGGAGCGACATATGAGTTATTACCATAAAACATTAAAGAAAAAATCTATTTATTAACGTTTATAGATGAAATATTGAATGGAATGTTTCTTCCCAGTTATTACAACAAAATGTAAGAACTTCCATTGTCTTTTTGAAGATAAATGAGCTTGAAAATTATTTTAACAAAATTCATTGTCACCTGTCAGTAATTTTTTTGTAGAAATGCTGCTCCCCATTTGCATTTTGAATTTCGGGTGTTTGAACTTTGAACCCAAAAGCCAACTGCAAAGGCCTTATTCCAAACATTTACTCCGTATTAGTTTTATGCATTGGCACTTGGCAGTAGGGGTGGGCAATCGGGTCCAGGAACCGCAAGTCGGAACCAGACCGCCAGGTTCGGTCCGAGTTAGGTCCGCGTCGTCCTTTCAAAAATTTAAAACGGTCCGGGTCGGTCCGGTCTTTATAGCTTTTAGGGTCGGTCCGGTTCCCCATTTTGAAGTTGTATTGGACCCGGACCGGACCGTTTTTTTAAATCCCAATATTATTTTTTAATATTATTTTTAATAAATATACGGATATACCCGTCTAAGCCCTTCAATCTTTCGGTCCTTCCAGGACCTGTGGCCTGCAATTATGTGGACGTGTTTTATTTATGTGGATGTGTTTCATTTATGCAATTGTTTTATTTTCATTTATCCCTCTACGTCAGTTTTGTATGTGGACGTGTGGCCTGCAATTATTCACACCTCAATTCCTCATAATCCACCATCGAATTACCCTTTGAAGGCATTATTCTATAATTTCTATTTGTTTTGGAGAATGTTAGTATCATGATAGGTTAGGACCCGTTAACCCGTGGAATCGGCCCGTTTCAAACAAGCCGGGTTAGGTCCGATTTCAATTTTAAAATTTCAAAAACCCGTTCCGGCCCGGACCGTTTTAATAAAAACAAGGCGAGTCCGGTTTATACAAAACTTGGCTCGGACCGGTCCGTGCCCACCCCTACTTGGCAGTTTCACAAGTCAAAGGAACCGAGGTGGTCAAACAGCTAATAAACGGCCGATCAGCCATTTAACAAACATTCATATTGTGAAGTTAACTTTCACCGCTATTTTGAAAGTTCAAACCTTTCGTCTTGACCCTTTTTCACAAGACGGTCAAGTGTAAACCCTCAGGATTGGAGTCCCGCAGAGGGGTCATCGCACCGGGAATTGTCCGAAACACAGAAAACTTATGGCCTTCACTGTATCCCCAAACTCAGTTCACATCCCACAGCCCTCTCACTTTCATCCAAGAAATCCCTTTCGCAGATGCTCAATTCCGCCTCCAATTTTACCCCCTTCCTCTCTCAGGTAAATCACATTCACCCCCAAAGACCAGACGAAATTTCAAGAATTTGGTTTGATGTTTCACCCCTTTTCTTGACTTGTACATTTCCATCGGAAAGATGCAAAATTTTGACATGTTTTGGTCTTTCCATGGGTGTGGGCTGTTGAAAATGGAGGTTGAGGCAACAAATTGTTGACTTTGAGTGCCCCATCTTTTGGAAAAGGAATTTTGATTGAGAATAGTAGTTTGTGTTATTTTCTTTTTCTCCCCCAATTTGATAACATTTTGAGATTATTTGATGAATGTTGTTATTAGCTTCCCCAAGGGCTTAGCAAACAGACTGGTTGTTGTTTTTTCGGCATCCTCTGCAGCAGGAAGTTCAAACTCAAATAGTGATTTGAATCCTTATGAGGTAAACATAATGTAGAGCCAATCTTACTTAGAAGCGGTAAACATCAGTTTATGATGAGTTTTACATTGTTTGTTTGGTTGTATTATTACGGTTCGTGATCTCTAGGTTTTAGGTGTAAGCCAACTTGCCGGATTTGAGAAGATAAAGACAGCATATGCTAGGAAACACAAAGATGCTGAATTGAGAGGCGATGAAGAAGCTGCTAAACAAGTAGGTCATAATTTAAAATATGGTACTTTTGTGAAATGTGTGATTTTGTTTAGAGCGTTTGAGGCTGCAATAGTATTTGTTTTCAGCTGGAAATAGCATATGACAAGATCATGATGTCGCAACTCACACAAAGAAAGAAGGGTGTTACTTTTGGATCACTTAAGGTATGTTTTTATTTATCTTGATGTCTATTAGTTCTCAAGTACTCGTAATAGTTAACCTTACACTCCCCAAACTCTTCCTTTTGTTGGAATTTACTTGGTTTGTTGTTGTTGGNGGAACTTTGTCTCTTCAAAAGTTTCTTGACTAAATGAGGAGTGGCACTCTTTTTTTTTCCTTCTATCTTCTTCTCGCATACCTCACATTCCAAGTGAAATACCCTCTTGGACATATTAACCTACATTTTTATTTCAATATTAATTTATTATCTACTATTTTTGTTGACTATCTTATAATTGGAACTAATTTGTTGTGATTTTTGAAGCTCAGGTTTCTAAGGAGATAAAGTATGCTGATAAGCTGCCTATTGTACCGTGGGGCCCCAGGTATGCTATGATGTT